CAGGCTATATAATATTTTTTGACAAAAAAAATTAGTTACCGGTTCAAACCGGGTTTTTCATTCATTAGAAATTGGGGAAAAATGATTAAAACAGCTGAACTCTTCCGCGGGTGAAATCTAGGGGGTTGAAAGGGGTGGAAAGTGGTAAAATTGTCTCTTTTTTTATAATAAAACAAACTCCTACGACCTTTTTTCGCAAAAATAAAAATAAAAAATGAAAAAAACAGTCTTTCCGGTTCTTCTAGGAAAATTGGAGGTTATGTGAAAACAGATACAAAAGTTGTTCATTTTTTATTCTCTATAGCTTTTCGTCCAAAATTAATAGTTTTCCCATAATTTGCAAAATACCACTTTCCACCCCTTTCAACCTCCGGGATTTCACTCGCGGACGTTTTAATTATTTTTCCCAAATTTTTAATCATTTCACCTGCCTGAAAAGCCCGGTTTTGCCCGGTAACTATTTTTTTTGAAAATAAATTATTTTAGAGCTATTTAGAATGGACTATAATCTGTTCACCCAACAGATGCAGTTAAGCCACTCCCAATAAATTTTGGCCAATGTAATAACAGACCCGTTTCACAGTCACAGAATTATAAAAACCGGGAAATTTAAAATCGCATGTCACATTTTATGACTAAGTTGTAAAGTGTTATTATTGAATAAGTAATAATACAATGGTAATACTTATTCAATGGTGTTATGTTTTGAATATTGACCTTTAAACACACAGCAGTACATAGTTTCAAATTGTTTATTAAGTTCAAAAAGATTAGTTTGTTCGTATAAATGAATTAATGGCAAATTGAGGCAAGGCAAATACAAAATGCAATGACAGGTTTGACGTTAAGGATGTCAATTTAGATACGGCAATTATAATCGGAACTTGGAAGCAAATAGTTGCGTGTGTTACAGGAGCAAGTCTCTGGTTACAGGTTTTGAAAATTCAGCCAATTAAAAATGTTCATTTAAATTTACCGGGAATTTTTTGGGAGGAGCTTAACTGCATCTGTTGGGTGAACAGATAATAGTATAGAAAATGAGAGAGAGGAGGATTTTGCCAGAAAAACATTCCGTTCGGAAATTATGTCGATTTTTAGATGTCCTGCTAATAGCCAAATCATTGTGCATTTTTACCTGATGCAGGTATGGGTACGTAGAACTAAAATTCACAAAATGCATAATTCGACACAATATGCCGCCGGAGCCGCCATCTTGCTAAGATGGCCGCCAAAAACGGGTTTTGGCAGATATCTCCAGAACCGTGCATTTTTCAAATATGTAGTGAGAAAAATTGGAGAAGAAAATTTCTTAAAAAAAATGCATATTTTCACTAAAGTTAACCCTAAGGCAGAAAAACAGAAATTTTTAATAAACAAATAATGTATGAATCTATTAATTTATGATCAATTAATTTTAAGTGAATAAAATTATAGTCCATCCGTTATTACTATTCCGATATGTAATTAACCCCACTAAATGCAGCGTTAACTTTTTTTACTTCACGTCGTCGATTTAATATAAATAATTCTCTCAAACAAACTGCAACGCGTTATTGTTGACGTGCAGAATAAGAATGAACAAAGTGGGTACCGCAACGGTTAAGCGATTCTAGCTCATATCGCTTACGTTAAAGAATGTTTATTGAAGTGAATTTGGCTTGCATGGCATGGCATCAAGTAGGCGTAAACAACAGTGCTGTAAACAAAAACTGGATGCAAGCGAAATTCAGTTCAATTAATATTATTTGACGTAAGCAATACGATCTAGAATCGATTAACCGTTTCGGAACCATACTTTGTTCATTCTTATTCTGCACGTCAACAATAGCAGTTTGTTTAAGAGAATTATTTATATTAAATCGACGACGTGAAGTAAAAAAAAGTTAACGCTTCATTTAGTGGGGTTAATTCCATATCGGAACAGTAATAACAAATGGACTATACATGCTCTAACTACGCGGGCCTAACGGACGTGGTTCGTTAATGTCACAGTTTTCAATGCCGAATATGTTTATCCCTATTTCGGGATCACCGTCGGCTTGTTTGAATTCGTGGGCCATTTCAATCCTGTTTTTCTGCATCCACAGTTGGTCTGTGGCGCATGGAGTGTCTTGTGAGCAGGATCCTTCAAAGAGGTTACTATGAGGTGATGTCAGTTTGGGTTTTTATTGTCCTCAATCTGAATGATTCGAACAACTTGGCCAATCTGATCGGTCCGTGAAGGTAACAGAACATTGCCGGCACAAATTACGTTAGTGTCGGTTTGTGCCGTAAAATATACCGTTTGGGGGTTATTTCGATTTTTAGATGTCTGTAGATGTTTGCTATAACTTCGCACACATTTGTCGGGAGTCGGGACACTATTCGGGACTAGGGGGATTGATTAGTGCCACGTTTGTGTCGGTTTGTGTCGTAAAAAGCAGCCTTTGAAGGTTATCACAATTTTTAAATGTTCTGGAAACCTTTTTTCGCGTGTTCTTACCGCTGTTTCAAAAACTTGCGTGTTATTTTCGGCGTAAGTGGGGTCGCGTTACGCGTTGTTTGAAGCTGGTGCTATCAAGCCTAATTAGAATTGGCATGTTTTTAAAAGATTCTGAGGAAGGAGATTATTTTATTGCGGAAGTGGTGTTTTCTAGGGTGTTTTATTAAATATCGGGCCTTCCCCCACACCTTTTTGACGGAAGTACACCTTTTGAATCATCAGGAATCACAATAAAACAAAATCGCGATAATGTCGATCGGTCTGTTGTACCCTTTTTCCCGCTAAACGGCTGAACCGATTGGAACCAGATTTGGAACACATATTCTTACACATGAAAGGAAAAGCTGAAAAACTTGTTTTAAACCACTTATCTCATTACCACTCTTCTTCTGCTTTGCGCGTAGTATCCCAGCTTATTTCTTGTACTTGTTTTTCCCCATTTAAGTAGGTAGGAGCAACAAGAGTTCTGGGACAACTATCGTTTTCGTATTATTCCGGTCACGTGCGCATGCGCGCTCCTCCTCCATGCGCAGCGCCATCTTTAGCGCCATATTGACCACCATCTAAGTCGACATCTTGGACTTGGAATCTTTAAGTACACAGACGACGGACAGAAAGTCTAAAACCACGATCGAGCTGATTCGCTCGTTAATAAATATGTCATTTTTTCATTTACTTGATTGTAATTACGTTCTGGTTAACCAATGATACCCCACTGTACGGAGTGCATTGGACGCGAATAAGATGCCGTTATTTCGTTGAATGTACTTTAGATTTGAGTCACTGAATAAATGCACTCTTAGTGTATTAGGAGTAGGTGGTAC